TATTTTACTTTGTCAGGATTGATACTATAATGTTTTTTGCAGAAAGGCTCAGTTTGCTTGCTTGCTTGCTTGCTTGCTTGCTTGCTTGCTTACTTACTTACTTACTTGCATGCATGCATGCATGCATGCAGTATTTTGCATGCAGTAGATCTATCCTTCCCTTTGGACAATACTGAGCTAGATGCATCATGATCTGATTTGGTATAAGGCAGCAAAAGCAAACCTAAGGAGTTGCATCTTGGCTGTTCCTCTTAGGAAGGCCGGCCACATGCATTGAGATGTGCAGTCCAGTGGGGCAAGTGGGGCATTATTTTTCCTACCCTCCTGTGTTTGCTTTAGTAGTAGAATGGCCCCCAAAGGGAGGAAGAGGAAGGCAGAGGCACCTCGGGCCACGACTGCAACATCTGAAGGAGTGGAGATGAATGTTGCTGAGGAATCGCCCAAGAAACCGAAGGAGGATGAAGAATTGGGCTTTCGTGTGATCATTGAGCATTGGTGTGTACCTGCATGTTATTTGCATCATCTGACTAAGGACGGTATCCATGGGTTGTTTCATGCATTTTGCTTTCTAGAAGGGATTCCTGGATAGAGCTGGCTGCTGCCTGAGAGAAGAAATCTTGGGGTTGCACCCAGCACAATCGAAAAGTGAGCCAGTGTTGAATTTGCTCTGATAGTGGGTCCTTTTGCATAAGAGGTACCATAAGTGAACAACTTGCATCTGCAGATACAATTCCTAAGGACAGAAATAGTAATGGTAGTTTTGTGACATTTCGTTCATGTGAGGCAGTTCCACCAGCAGACCTGTTGCCCAGCATTGAAAGAGAGAGAAAACTGCTGATGAAAAGATCCTTCTGCTAGCACATTGATGGTATTGGATGCGACCCTTAAGTCTATTAATTATTTTAGTTTTAATTGATTAAATCTACATACATTTGCATCTGAGGGGAGAAATGCTACCAAAAGAAAGAGCACACCTTTTTTGCTTTTGTTTTAAATAATGTATGTGTAGAAATATTATTTCCTCCTTTTTCTTCATCTGGGAGGAAATAACTCTTTAGGTGTTGTTTGCCATCTGTGGCTGATTACTTATCCCTTTATAAGTAATTATTATATCACCCTTGAATCCAATTCCCTGGATGGTTTTTAAAATAAGAGTAAAACCATTCAAATGTTCATACAAAAATAAACGCTCTAAAATTATAAATGTGGTATGACTAAAATTGCATCTACAGATGCAAGTGACAATACAGTAGGCACCAAGCAAACTGGTATCAGAACTAGTATTAAAAGTTTAATTGGTCAGCAGATTTAATCACAGGTGGTTTTTTTAAATATATACACACCAAATTTATAATTGATTATTGTTTAACTGAGTATTGCCACAGCTCTAGTAAGAACCCTTTTTTTGAACAGGAAATCTCATCCCTAAATACTGCATCTCTCCTATGAAGTAGAAAACGGAATGGGAAGTTTGGGCTGAACTCTCTGAACACTGGTGGGGTTGTGCTTTCTTCCACGTAGTCAAACCATTCATTGCTTTGTGCCTGTATTGGTTCAACAGAGACTTTCAAATCACAGTTCAGGTGGTTCTCTGAAAGCTTTTCTTCATTCCACAGTAAAAGCTGACGAGTCTATGGGCGCAGTGCCAATGCAGTCAGCGAGGCACTGCACCAGACCTTTCCTGACATCGTGGTGATGGTGAACCCTGAGAAACCGCGCAGGAATAGCTTTGAGGTTGCTTTGTGGAAAGAAGATGGCACCAGTAAGTGCTTTCAAGGGAGGCTTTTCAGTGAGAGACAGTAGGGACCTTCCTGGAGTTGCCGTATCTATTTGGGGTTAGTGATACCCCAAATATAGCTTGGTAGAGAAACCTTCGGCAGTGAGTTCTTGGTGTAGTTTTCATCTGCCTAGAATATGTGTGACCGGATGTTCACAAATCCACTCACCAAGCCATAAGGGTGCCCAAGTACAAAAAGCAATTAGGCTGCCTTGTGCTTTTCTCCATATCCCACTGCAAATCAGAAAACACTCTGTATCTCTCCCCAGCTGTGGTTTGTGCCATAGAATTTGGGGGTGGGGGATGACTGTGTGACCATAAATAGTAGCTGTGGTTCCCTGTATGTACGCATCAGAATGTACATAACTAGAAATTTGAGGCTGAAACATCTTATTGCTGGGATCCCTAGTGTGACATCTGAGGGCACCACTTAGCACCAACCCTAATCCTCTGCTTCTCCTAATTTTTAATTAGTTTTAAATTTGAGGGTTGTGTGTTTTTTGTTAGGATGGGTTGCCTGTTTCGGGAGTGGGGTGAGGTGGTCAGATGTTTTATCTGTAGTCTTGGTCTGCTTCAGAATGTGTCTGATAATGTTGTAACTGTTTGGTGGCAGGATCTAATCATTGCCAGACCCCCCACCCCAGGTGAAATGGTTATTTTGTGGTGCCTGTGACAGTTTATTAGATTTGATGGATTCAGTAAATACTACTCCAACCTTCAACAGTGACACAGTACAGAGAGTGGGTGTGCTGGCATAAAAAGGAAACCAGATGTGGACAATCCATGCCCACCAGATGTTGCTGGGCTAAAATCCCATAATCCCAGAGTGGCTGAAGTCTTAACAACATCTGGAAGGCCACAGTTCCCCACCCCTGACTTACCTACTTCCAGGTCATTTTCTCTAGCATATCACAAAGCTGGGCTAGCTGAGGTTTCAACCAGATACCATAGCCATATTCTGAGGTTCCCCTTCCAGTTCTGTTGTGCTTTCTACCTGCTTATTTATCCCTTACTCCCCTTTGCTGATGCAAGTCCAAGAAGCTAGTTGCTGCTGGAAGATGAGTGGGCAGGCAGTGCCAAGAGAGACTGGGAGTTCTCCAGAGGTGGCTTGCACAACTTCCAGCACCATTAGCTGCTCCAGTTATCACCTGGAGCCTTGTTCATAGGGTTTCTCTGAACTGGAGCAGGACACTGGGCTGAACGTTTGGCAAGACCTACACAGCAGCTCTTTGATTGAGCTTTAACCCATTCGTCCCGCCTTTAGATTCGGTTTCTCTTTCCACCACTCCACACACAAGCTCAGCTGTAGAACCGGCTCAACGTGTGAGATCTTGGGCAACTGGAGATGTAACTTGCTCAGCTACTGCTATGTCCAGTTATTTGTGAGAGCAACCAGTAGTTTAATGAATGCACACAACCCTACCTACAAGCCAGCAGAGGGACATGGCATCTTGGCTGCGTGCTTGTGGCTGACTGGAAGTAACACAATACAAATGCTGCTGGCAAGTTGTCTTCCGTCTTTATTGATTTTGTCTTTATTGGGTTTTTTAGAGGTGGAGTTATGGAGCGGCCTCAAGAAAGGGCCACCACGGAAGCTCAAGTTTCCCGAACCAAACAAGGTGGTTGAAATGCTGAAGGGCAACCTAGAATAAAGCCAACAACCGGGCAGGATTACCAATGGTAGGTTTGTACAATGTAGCAGCTGTATTCTCTGAGATCTGCTGGATGTCAGTGCCTTATTGGGCTGGCCTCACCACCACCACCACCCCAATTCCTGTGTAGCTTTAAATGATTACTGCCTGGCTGGAGCAAGAAATAGGACTAAAAGCTAGTCATTATTTTGTGGTCTCTCTGTTGTTGTGCCCCCCCCCCCCCGGCTGGGTAGAGGATGAATTGGGAAGAAAGGCAAATTAACTGCTCCCATCATTAAGTCACATACTTCGAGGACTGCTCATCCATCCATCAGTCTTGTACACTATCACCTACAGCACAGGTTGGCAGTATACAGCCACTGGCCTAATTACATATGGGTGTGGAGGTGGCAGCAAGGGAGAGGAAAAGGGTGCCCCCTCCCTACCAGCTCTGGGAATCTTGGATCATAGCTGTGCTATCCATCTGTGCTGGCATCTCCTGAGAAAGGGATGGGAGTGAAATCAAGAGCATGCCCCCCCCCCCAGCTACTCAGCATAGTATATGAATGGTGCATTAGCTTTCTTTCTACTGAGCAAGATCTGTGGCTAATGGCTGTCTGTCCTTGCATCTAGCACAGCTGATGAACACTTCGTCCTGTGTGAGAGGTGGAGCATCCATGATGGGATATGATTAAGTGGGGTATATAATGAAACTCCAGTCGCATCTCTGAAGCTGCTGCCCCTCCTCCACGAAAGGAAAAACATACCAGCTGCTTGTTTCCTGATCCCTTTACGGTTTTGCTTTGTTAGTCATTTGGGGATGGGCATATATTGCTTTTCAGTAAAGCTTTAACTATTGTCATGCCTTATACTTTCTTAATTCTTATATATTTCTTAATTCTGTTCAGTCAGGACAGCACCTGTCTAGACAAACCTTAGTGCAGCATGTGCTACAGCTTCACTAAGGCCCCATCTACACTTCCACTTATCAATTGAGTTTTCTGCAGATTGATGTTTGTTCCAATTTGGCACTAAACAGGTTTTCCTGGGGAAAGCAGTGGGGCAAACAGAACCGTGTTTAGAAAGTATGGGGTAAGCAATAAATGTGGACAAGCCCCTAAATAAAAGTGGTTCTTCTGGATCCTGTGCAGTTGCCCTTCAGTAGTGAAGCCCTTATCTTTCCTTAAGCAGCATAAAAATCAGTGTGGTGTTGGAATTAGGTGTTGGAAGCTAGAAGGACTTGCCACTGCTATCACAATCCTGTGCAACTGCACAGGGTTTTTGCAAAACTACCTTAACATTCAGCATGCTTTATTATCTCGTTCATTAACTGCAAAAAGGATGTCATTTGTAAATCTCTGGAGCCCTTTCTTCCCATTTTGTTCTAGCCTGAAAGCACCAAATCTGGTGCCATGATCTGCCTATATATCCTGCAGTAACTTCCTTTCTAGATGATGATTCTTCCGTAATATCAGCTTTCCCCTCATCCTGTTTCTAACAAGCTTCTTGTGTGCAATTTGTTTCTTTTCTACCAGTGCTGCAACTAAACCATAAGCTGCCATAAGTTTAAACAAAATAAAGACAACTCGGGGGGGGATATAGGAACTTTAATTGAACAAAGTCACAACTCAACATTTCTTATGGCCTTTGTGCCATCTACTCTTCAGATTGTTTTCTGTACAATGAGAGCTTTGGGCTATCAAAAGGAAGTAGTTGGCACAGCGTCATGGAGGCATGGGTCACTGCACTTGAATACACCTCTCCTTGAATAAGCTGTAAACAAGGGAAATGGTTTGAATGTAAAACAAGTGATTTAACCTGTTATTAGACTTTGGAGAGCCATCTCTGTACAAAATAAAATAAAATCAGCAGGGCATGTAACTGTTTACTAAATCAGCTTCCACAGACGGTTAGCCAGCATTAATAGCCAGTGAAAGTGGTCGGTCCTACCAGAAGTAGTGAAAAGACAGCCTTGAAGGGGCTTTTAACATTTCCAGGCAGCTGCTCCAATAAATGCCCCGAGCTTTTGCAGTGCAGCCCAAAGAGCACCCACTCAAAAGCACAGCAGATGCAGTGAGAGGCATCAGCAAAAGTCATGCTGCTGTTTCTAGCTCCTGTGTGACCTTTGTGATAAAGTGTTTGATGTGTGCACACAGCTGGTGGGAACAGTAGGCCACCACCCATGTCTTCTCCAGTGTTGTAAATTCCCTTCTACTCCCAAGTTGTGCTGCTCGGTGTAACTGTTCACCAGATTGGGTTTTAAGAGGGTGGGGCAGGGAGCAAGGCCTAAAAGTTGCTTTAGCTGCCTACCATTAAAAATTAAAATTAAAGCCACAAACAAACTATAAGTTTGAGTCACTGAGAACACAGTCACTCTCAGGTTACCCTAGAATGCACAACTGACTTTGTTCACTGAATTGTGAGTGCCACACTTCCTGTGTATTTAGAAAGCCCTTTTTGTTCACCTTGGGGCAGCTATACCCTCCTTCATTATTGGGGGTGGGGGGGGGGGAAACTGGTGGCCCTCCTGCTATAAATAGAACTGAAACAGACTGTGCTCATGTGCAGTTTTAGTGCATGAGAAGGACTTTCTCCACCATTAACATTTCCTTACTTTTTGACAGAACCACTGCTAGATGTTTCAGTTTTTTAGTTTCTAGCTTCTACCTATCCTATAAAGCAGACCAGGAATCCTGCCAGCCTGCACTGTACAGAAAACAGAGTTACAAACGTAACAGTCATGATTAGATAAGGCTGAGGGGGTGATGATGGAATTCCCGGGGGGGGGGGCGCACTTTCCCCTCAGCACTCCAAAAGCACTGTAAGATACTACTAATGTACAGTATTTGTTTAGCGCAGCCCCATCAAGGATTTTAAGTGTGGCACTGAAGTCTATCCCACACAGGGCCAGACTTTTATGAGACCTTGACATGGTGATGCTGCCCCTACTTTGAGGCACCCTCCTCTCCTCTCATGGCAGTGTGTGTTACGTTTTTTCTTCTCCACCTTTTCAAGCAGGGCAGCCTGGCAATGGGGAGGCTCAGTTCAGCAGCTGAGTTCTCTGTCCTGGCAGGCGTCACAGGAAGGCTGACATCGTCACTTGTGTCCATGAGGGAGGGGGTGGTCATGTGTGGGAGAGAGGCCATGGCAGGCTGAAATCAGAAGTGCACTGCACTGGGCAAGCAAGAAAGCAAAACCAGGGGAGAGAGCCAAGTTAAAGGGTGCACTGCAGCTCACCATTACCACCACACCAAGGGAGTCCAACAGTCCAGATGGTCCCAAGAGAAAGGTGACGGGGATGAGGCGTGGCGTTGCTGCTTACTGTGTCACACAGTCATCCCCATTTCCCTAGATGCAGGCTTCCCGCTTTCAGTTGGGAAGATGTCTCAGCCAAGTCTCAGTTCAGTTTTGGCCTGCAGCAGGCAGTCACAACGCTGAATGTCCCCCAAGGTCCCCACATACTTTGCATTTTGGGAGACTTGGCATAGCGGCTGCCCACCAAAGGCTTGAGGCTCCCCTTTAACCACAAGTGCTGTTGCCTCCAGGATAAATGCATCCAGGGAGAGGGATAATGAGCCAATGGGAATGGCAGCAAGTAGCAGCAACAATGCCCGATGGGATCCTATTGGCACCGAGGTGAGCAGGGTAGCAGTGGGCCCTTCTCAGCCTGACCAGCAGACCTTTGACATCAGGCCTGACCCCTCACAGCCCCTGGGTAGTCAAGGCAACTCTTTCCCATGGTCTGCATTCACTAGTTCACAACATCCACCTCGGTTTCGGACACCGGAGAGGGATCTGGCCTGACGCATTCGATGCTAACCAAGAGTTCGTCTACCCCACCAACATCTATCTCTTCCTCTTCCAAGCATGGAGGCACCTTATAGCCCAAGTGGTGCTGCAAAGGGCTCTTCTGCAATGTCTGAGCATGGAGCTGTGTTTCGACACCAGAGATACCCACTTCATAGGACAAAAAACCCCGGTTTTCATTGTCTGCCAAAGTGACGGGCAAAGGATCACCAAGGTTTGCAGGCATATTCTCTGACAGGGACAGTTGATGCTGAACTGTCCAATCATCCAGTTGGGGAGAAGCTGGTTTGTACCAGGTGAAACAGTCACTGCTGGTTTCAGACTTCACAAATGGAAAGTAGCTGGGAACAGGGTCTAGCAAGGGTCTCCCATTTGCTGAGCCATGAGTTTCTCGGCTGATCTTCATGTCAACAGCCTCCAGTTCCCCTTTAAGGAGACTGTTTTTGGTCTTGACCCACGGAGGACAGTCAGAGACTTCTGGAGAGCACATATCTTTTCTTTCAATTTCAGCACATTCTAGTGGAATCTCATTTGCTCCTGGTGCAGGCCATAAAATATTCATGCCTTCTGGAATAGTGGCCTCTTGAGGCTCCTCGACAGCATCACCATCATCTGCCAAAAACATATCAAGCATGTGTTCCAACTCACCAGCTGAAACCAGCTTGTCATACTGCACATCCTCAGTCAGATGGTCTAGCAGAAACAGATCCAATTTATAAGGGTCTCCATCTTCCAAGGATACCTTGTTCTCAGCTTGTTCTCCCAGGTTCTTCTCATTAACAGGTGGACTTTCCATTTTTGTGGGCAGCCCTCTAGTTGAGGTGACTGACTGTTGTGCATCTACTCCTGCCAGCTCAGGATACCTGGGCGGAGATCGAGAGCCCTCCTCTTTCAGAGCACACATAGAGTTTGCTGGCCTGGTGGCCTGAGCTGAGGGAGATTCCTGCACCACCTCCCAGCAGCTGCCATTGATAACTTTTCTGAGCCTTACCCGGCCAATCTGCCCTGCATTTTGGGGACAGCTAACGCAAGGTTCACTGGCGTTGCGCTTTCTGCTCTTAGCAGCCTCTGGAGGTAGAGGCGGGCTCCAGAAACCATACAAATGGCTATCTTCTGCTTCTTTCTGCTCATCTTTGATCGGAAGACTTTTCTGCCTCCAGTGACGTCTGCTGGACCTTGAGGGTTTGCTGGATTCCACAGTGCTAGAGTCTTTGATGGCACATGGTACAGGCAAAGGTGATGAGGGGAGCTTTGAGCGACTGAGCTTAATCTTTTTTGACTCTTGCAAGCTGGTTGTAGTTTGGCTATCGCCAGGCCCATCCTGTGTCCGCAAACTGTCATGCTCATTATTGCCTAATATATTCTTTCCCATGCCTGTAAGACGTTTTTTAACTTTAGTTCTAAGGGGCTCGGCAGTAACTGCTGGATCTTTAGGCATCTGGTCTTCATTCACACTCATCAATGCTTCTGGTTTTTCCTTCTTGACAGCTTTCTGGACAATGCTGTTATTGTTATCCATTTCCTTGGTGCATGGAACATTCACTACAGTGTGCTGCATATTTGAAGACAGCCATGACGTCAAAGAGCTACCACTGCAGGCAGGGGGAGACTGCAACAGCGTTAACTCTGGGATGGATAATGGACTAGATAGCTGTAGGCAATCCCGATTTAATCTAGGGCCCAGGGATTTTTTGACCAACTTTCCTCCCTCTAGATGAAGTGACTCCAGCTCTGACACCTGAAGCTGCCGTGCAGCTGCAAGAACATCCTGGGCTTCTTCCCGGGACACCTCCATCTCAGAGGTGTAGAGGAAATCCACCAGCTTACGTAAAGTCCCAATTTTCAGCCCCCGGATCTCTAGCACCACCTTGTGTCCTTTGGGGGGCATTTCTCGCTCCAAACGCTCTGTGAAGAAAGGGCTGCAGGCTGATAGAATGCAACAGTGAGCTGGAACAGCTTCCCCTGCAAACAACACAATTGTTAGCAGGTACTGTATCAACAAAGAAACCCAGATATTTGCTCCTCTCTGGACAGAAGTTGGTCCCAAAGTGTTCCAGACCCTAAATAAACATTTTTCTTGAGATTCCCCAAGTGTTATCTCACGACTAATTATAGAGCTGTACTGTTTAATAATTCTTACATACTGAGGCATATTACAGCATAAAACCATTTAGTTTTACGATCAGTCTGCTTATGAGTCTGTCTCAGCAGCTCATTTAAAACTGTTAAACTTATTTTCACAATTCCTTCTGGATATGATACAATTAAAATAAAGAACAGAATGGTTGGAAAAAAATAAGTTATTTTAGCTCACCCTGTTCTCTGCCCTCTCAGCTTTGAGGGCACTTAAGCACTAGCAAAAAGCAATTCACAGCATAAGATGTACTATACATTTTTATAAGCATACACAGACTTTTCCCAGTACACATATACTCTTGTTTGTTTCAACTCGGTTTGCTTAGGAGAAGTTCTCAGTGGATTTGTACTCACATTTGTTTGTGAGCAGGCATTTTACAGACAAAGAACAATTTGCTATCATAAAAACACCACTACACTGGAGAGGCACATGGTTAAGAACTCTAGGCATAATCCAGCCGAAGTTCAGCACTGCAAAGCCTTATTTCAATGGGAGAGTTAAGCTGTCCTGGGACTGCAGAACAGAAGGGAAGCACACCTATCCAGTGACCAGCAGACCAAGTTTAATTGATGTCAACTGCTTTGGGAGAGAAAACCAGTGGTGGCTCAGGTTTGAATGCAAAAAGTCCCTTCAATCCATGGCTGCTGTTAGTTAAGTTTAGACACTATTGAGTTAGATGGACCAATGGGTTCTACTCACTGCAAGAAAGCTGGGGACCTATGACACTGAGAACAGGCTATGGGAAATCCATCTATCACATCCAACAGGTCATAAACATCATTAATTAATTGTTGCTGATGTTTCCTTTTTGGTAACCATGCAGTCTAAGCTTGAAAAATACTTGAAATTTCTAGGAGTCACTGTCAAAATTCTAGGTGCTGGATCCTTAAAGCAGAAGTGCTGGCCAGGAATTTCCAGGCACCTGGGAGTTTCCAACTCTGTTAGGAAGCAAAGCACCCTTAACTTAAACCCTCCCAGCTTTAAGTATTACCTTCTGCTTGTAGGACAACATCACAAAATAAGTCAGCTCTCTGTTGCCGATGGAGCTGAAGGAACACCATACGGAGAAGGCGGGAATTCCGATACAGAATCTTGGGATTCGCAGCTGGAGGGCTCATGGCAGCAGAATTTCCACTTTGTCAGGCACCAGATTTCTGTGGGGTAGACACAGTTCTGAGGATGCAGCTATCAAGGTCTATGAACCTAAAGTCATCTTGGAAGAAAGACCCAATTAATTCAATGGGACTCCTAAGAAAGCATGCACAAATTTAAAAATATTAGTGGTAATGCTTGAAAATAAGGCTGCAGCCTGAGGCACAAGATATAGCTATGCAAGTTTTCCTTCAGGTAATTCTGCTAAAGAATATTCTTAAACTGCAGCACTTCCCTCCATCATACTGTCAGCAATCCCCAAGACTTATTTTAGCTTTACTTCAATGAATAAATACATTGTGTTTAAGATTTTCCAATATGCCCAAATGGTCAGGAATGAAGTAGAAGAACTTGTGAACTGTTAATACCTGTGTTCTTCCTCTCTTGCAACACTGACCATATCAGTTGCTCAAGCAATACCGCAAACCTTTTCATACCCCATTCTGAAGCAAATGACTTCGGACACACAGGTTGTCAATTTCAATTTTTAAAATACACAGTAAACAAGTCAGTTCAAAAATTAAAATATTAATAGATTTTAAGCAGAACTCTATCATTCCATGGGTGTGTTGCACTTTACTATGGAAAAAATTCCAACACTGTCTGAAATCTACATTTGGGTGGGGGGAGGGTGCTGATCTCCCAAAAATTCAGGGACCATTTAAAACTGTGTTTCCCAACCTGTGGGCTGTGGTCGCAAACCCTGTTCAAGTGGGTTGCAGGCTTTATAAGTAAACCCCAAATAATTTCTGCTTTTAATCCTTAACTGATTTGAATACCACTTACAGCTTTTTGTTCTGTTGGTACATTACACTGCTGTGTGGACAGACACTTGCACCTGAACATTAGAAAAAAAGCTCCAGTCATGCATTTTAACACTTGGGAACCACACTCTGGCAGCAGATCTGGTGAAAGTTCACCACAAGGTCTCCCTGTAAAAGCACCTTCTGCCAAAGTTACACTGGACCAGCCAACTAGATCAGTTAATAGTTAAGCCAAAGGTGATTTGACATTTGCTTAGTCAAAATAAGAAATAATATCTATACCCTATGTATTAATAACCGTTTAGAGTAGTTTTCTTACAATCAAGCAATATATTTGGGAAATAAATAAAATAATAAATAATAATCAGACTATGGGTATGCTCACATCACCACTTACTCTACATCCAATGCGCTCCCACTGCTAACTCCAGAAGCCAAATTCACACAACCTTAGCCACAATCTATATCAATCCTGTTGTTCCTTGACAAATACTGCTGTTGGACGTGTTTTTACTCAGACTAGCTGCCATCCAATTAGGAAACTGGATGCAGAGTAAACTGCAATGTGAAAAGACACTAGTAGTCATCACACAAGTGCAGATGAGCATGGAAGAGAAGGTGATAGTGTAATGCACAGGAGTTCCATAGGGGTTGCAGGGGAAAGGAAGCCATAAAGATCACATGAAGGCATCTCCATGCAAATGACCTCATTGAGTTTCAAGCTACTAATGTGAACATACATTAGTACATGTGTGACAACCATCAAATGCCTCACTGGCCAACTTGTTGGCCAAATACAAGCTCAGACAAACCACTGCTACATGCTAAAATGAACTTTATCGTGAATATTAAAAATATTAATACTCCATTGTATTTAATACTACTTGTGTAACCATATGTTTCTAGAATAACATTTTATAGCTTATGAAGCAATATTGTGCAATCAGATGGCTGGTGTTCTTAACATTCCCATAAACAATACTGTGAATAACTTTGGAAGTTTTATAAATATTGCAACAAATTCCACATAATAGCAGCATTAAGTAAACGTTTACTTGGGTGTCCCAAGTAGCAGTTATAAAATAGGCAAACTTGAAATAAAAATGCATGAAACCAACGGCTGACAAAGACATGGCATCCAAAATTCATTTGATAATAAAACAATGGGTCACTATACCAAGTAAATTTGGACTTGTGGATCGCCTAACCCCTTATTTAAAAATATATTATTCCTTGCTGTTTCGGTATAGCATACATTTTACACTGGAACAAGAGCAAAAAAAAAAAAACCACACACCTGAGAATTTAATTAACAAAACAATAAACCTGTTTTGCCAGATTACAGTAAACAAGGTATATATAATATAGTAGGTTTCCCCAGCCACTCTGGGCAGCTTCCAACAAAACATTAAAATACAATAATTCATCATATATTAAAAGCTTCCCTAAACAGGGCTGCCTTCAGATGTCTTCTAAAAGTTGAATAGTTGTTGATTTCTTTGACATCTGATGGGAGGGTGTTCCACAGGGTGGGCCCCACTACCAAGAAGGCCCTCTGCCTGGTTCCCTGTAACTTTGCTTCTCACAGTGAGGGAACTGCCAGAAGGCCCTCAGAGCTGGACCTCAGTGTCCGGGCTGAACGATGGGAGTGAAGACGCTCCTTCAGGTATACAGGACCAAGGCCGTTTAGGGCTTTAAAGGTCAGCATAAACTGAATTGTGCTCAGAAACTTACTGGGAGCCAATGTAGGTCTTTCAAGACCAGTGTTATGTGGTCTTGTGGCTAAGAATTCACCATTTCCACAAAGGACAGGAATTTATAAAAAATGGTAAATAAGGGAGGGAAATCACTCTTTAAACTGTATAAAAGCATAATATTTCAAGTGGAAATCAGAAAAAAGTTTGCAAAAAAAAAAAACACACATCAAATTTTGTTACAGTCTCCATATGACATCAAATTAAGCCAAAAACAAACCATTTTTCAAACTGATGAGTATCTTAATCTGAATTTCATCAGAAATTCTCTGTTCCTTTAAGTCATCAGAAGTTGCCCCAGTTGTAAATGGATCACCTTTCACAGAAAATGTCTCTCTTAATATGCCTTACTATGTTACTCCCAGCTGTATATCAGCACTGATCCTCCTGCAGCAACCTCAACTGGTAACCCGTTATTTAATTTGCATGCAAAAGAACATCAGCTGGTGGATGTTGGTCCTACATCCAAGATTTAAAAGACCAGTATGATACAAATATGCCTCCTTGAAGTATTTCTTTCTTCAACAGTGGCCAACTAGATGCCTCTGGAAACTGAAGCAGGACATGACAACAGTATCTCTCTCCTCTTGCTGCTACCCAGCAACAGCGTTCAGTAGCGTAATACTTGCTTCTGAACCACAGGGTGGGTGTGCGCGCGCACACACACATATAGCTATTATTACTAGTAGCCAAAGGAAATCTCATCCAGTTTTCTAATCCCCTTTTAAAGCCATCTAAACTAGTCGCTACCTCATTTTATAGCAATAAATTCTATACACTAATTGTGCACCACGTGAAATAAGGCTCTTTTGCCAATCCTGCATCATCTGCCAGTTTCATCAGCTGCTAACAGTCATGGTATATTGCTGATGTTATGAGCTGATACTCTGATTCTACAATGCTCTGTTATGTAAAAGGAATAAAAACTTCTAAATCCACTTTCTCTCCCTTAGCAATAATGTTATAGACCTGTCACAGCTGACTACATAATTTCTTACTTCAAAACTAAAATTCCCAAATATTGTAACTTTTCTTCATAAGGAAGGTGCTCCACTCCCATGGTCGTTTGGGCTGTGCTTTCATGCAACTTCTCCATAGAATCAGAGTTGGGAGGGACCATGAAAGTCATCAAACCCAACCTGCAATGCAGGAAACTTTTGCCCAACATGGGGCACAAACCACGACCCTGAGATTAAGAGTCTCATGTTCTACCAGTTGAGCTATCCGGTGCCACAATATCCTTTCTCAATTGGGGAAACCAGAACTTTGCCATCTCCTATCTTTTCATAAGCCATTATGTAGATCTAGGACAGGGGTCAGCAAACTTTTTAAGCAGGGGGCCAGTCCACTGTCCCTCAGACCTTGTGGAGGGCTGGACTATATGGGGGGGGGGGAATGAATGAATTTCTGTGCCCCACAAATAACCCAGAGATGCATTTTAAATAAAAGGACACATTCTACTCATGTAAAAACACGCTGATTCCTGGAGCGTCCGCGGGCTGGATTTAGAAGGCTATTGGGCCGGATCCGGCCCCCAGGCCTTAGTTTGCCTACCCATGATCTAGGTGCTAGTTTTACACTTACACAGCTCAAGTCACACATTCTCTGTGTGTCTCCTTCAGAAGTCCAGAGGGTGGTACCAAGAGAACTAGCTGATTTTGGTGGCAACCTTGTGGAATCATATCCCCAACCAAGGAAAGCTTTCCTAGTGCCAACACTGATAACTTTTTGGTGCCAGATGAAAACATTTTTACTCTTGTAGACATGTAGGTGGATCTTACTGTTGTGGATCTTACAGCTATTTTAGCTGGAATCTTGCTGATTATCATTGTGTTTTAAAGAGAAAGGATATTTATGTTCTTTAATCTTATTGTGGATTATGTATATAATTTAAGGCAGACAGGAAAGCAGCAACCCAGCCCCAGCTGAGAAACTTCCACATGGAGGGATTTGAGTACATATTAGTAAGCCTAATACTCAACTCCTAACAAGATCACACCCTTTGACTCTGCATTCATGCAAAATACCTGCTCTTTCTCCCCATGGCACCACACAAACACCAATGTGAAGCAGAATCCTCAGCTTTAAACAAATACACATCAAAGGGTAACCAAAATCTACCTTTGCTCCAATCCTGATTATGAGAACAAGGGAACTGCTAAACTGTGTTTAGAATTTCAGCCTTAGTATAGATTGGTTACTACTTTACAAACGTACCTAGGAGTAAATCCCACTTCCCTCAATGCAAGTTATTTCTGGGTAGACATGCATAGGATTATACTGCAAGCGTTCTTGAGTACACACCCTAATTGTTGTTCTGGGTAGAGTTCCAATGTCTTTAACAGCTAACAGGCCAAAATTCAACAGGGCAAGTATCTACCTGCACCTGTGTGCCAAAATTAAGGCAAAAGCCCTCGTTCTGCAAGTAAGCTTTTTACCCACTCACCAAAAACAAGTGACCATCAGAAAAGGAACAGCAGCTAATTTTCTACCCCAAAAGCTTCATTCAGCTTCTATTTAGGATACCAGTTTCATTTTAAACTATCCTAAACAGATAATTTTAAACTGTTTTACCCCCCAGGCCAGTAGTATCTGGTTTTATTTCATTGTAATTCTACATGTCAAGTGGCGATATTTTTGGTACACTGCTGTGTATTAAAAATGTATTTCACCTTTCCACCGCCTTGGGCCTTCAAGCCAACGAGGGCGGCAGACGCCCCACACCTCTGAAGCCCGTTTCCCCACCACTTAAAGAATTCTGGGGCCTGTAGTCCCCGCAACCCTTAATCTGCGGGGCCCAGAATTATTCAAGGGGAAGACCGCGCTTCGAAATGTGCCTTTTTAAAGGTATATCCCAAACCGGTAAAGAAAACGCCACGAGGAACCAACTTCCATCAAGAGTGGCAGGTACATATTAGTATCAAACAGAAGAAGAAACCTACAAACCAACCGTCGAGAGCCTCCCGTCCCTGAGGAAACGTCGACTCGCTTCCCCCCTCGACGCCCCACCCCAGGCCCACGGAAAGAGGCA